ATAACCTGCTCTTCTCTCCCTAGTGCTCTGCCATCTGTTTCATGCTATGTATTTGAATGCGATAAAATGCATTATAGTATTCCAAAATCCGTACTGTTCATTATTTCAAGTCGAAATGTCTTCATTCTAAATTTGTGAAGTTTTTCTACATCTAAAATTGGCTAAAGAAAATATAAGATACTCCCATCAAGTCTGGCTTGGAAGAAGGGAAATGCCTCATTAAGTGAGGTGAGAAAATTTTAGATGAGTCCGTAAAACGGAAACGGAGACAACCTTGGCCAGCCTCCTAGTCCCATGATAAAGAAACATGCAGAGCAAATCCCCCTGCCACCCCCTCCATCTGCCACCTCCCACCTTTCCATGAATGAGTTTTCTCCTCAGCTTTCTATTTTGACTGATAACGGTTGTAGTCAAACTAGGTTTTGATCTGTTCCTCATTACTGAATGGGTCCAAACTCTCTTTTACATCACTCCTTAGGTTTTCATCTACTCTCTTTATGTAGTAATTCACTTGGATTTGAAGGTTGTTTATCCAACAAATTCACCACCAACAACCGGGAAGCTGCCGGGGGTTGGAGGGCAGCTTTTGAGTAGTTAAAATTGTTGCAACAGACTCTACACTAAGGACTATGAAACCTTATGATCTCGGATCTTATTTGTTCTTATAGACAAATTTCTAGCAAAAGAACAGAAAGGAGACGCTGTTCGGAGGTATGCCTGCTGAGAGCAAGAAGTGTGTAAAGTAAAATTATCAATATATTGTGAGATTTATAACATGCAGAAATAAAGTACGTGACAGAAATAGCACAAAGGCCAGTATAGGAAAAACAGAGGGCTACAAAGTTCTAATACTGCATGTGAGATGGTGTAGTCACTTGAAGGAATATTGTAGTGAGCTAAAGATACATACTCCAAACCCTAAAGCAGCCACCTAGATAACACAATATTTATAGTTGAACGTCCAACAAACAAGATAAATGAAATTATTCTACAAAAATAAAGTCTATTAACCCAAAAGAATGAAGAAAAAGAGGAGAAGGGGGAATAAAAACAGAGATGAATAGAAAACAAAGAGCAAGATGGTAGACTGAAACTCAACCATATCAATCCATGTTAATTAAACATTAATGGTCTAACCGCTAAAATGAAAAGGCAACATTGTCAAATTGTATGTAAAAGGAAGGTCCAAATATACGCTGCTTCCAAAACAAAGATACATATAAGTAAAAGGTAAAAGTTAAATAAGAAGATACAAATAAGTTAAAGGTAAAAGGATACGAAAAGTTGTTTCATCTTAACCCTTATCAAAATAAGGGGAAAGTGACTACACTGATACCTGACCAGGAGATTTCATAGCCAAGAATATTACTAGGAGAAAAGATGGCCATTTCATACTGATAAAGGGGTCAATTGGTCAAGAGGACATAACAATCCTAAACAAGCATATGCCTAATAATGGAGCTTCAAAATGTACGGAGTGGGCTTCCCTGGTGGCGCAGTGGTTAAGATTCTGCCTGCCAATGCAGGGGACATGGGTTCAATCCACATGTGGATCCAGGAAGATCCCACATGCCGCAGAGCAACTAAGTCCATGCACAACAACTACTGAGTCTGTGCTCTAGAGCCCATGAGCCCCAACTACTGAGCCCATACGCCACAACTACTAAAGCTTGTGCGTTCGAAGGGCCCACGTGCTGCGACTACTGAGCCTGTGTGCTGCAACTACTAAAGCCTGCGCTCCACAACAAGCACTTCAGAGTGGTTACTTTTTGATAGTAATGATGATGAGAATAATGATAATGCTGTATTCAATGAATGCATCCTTCTGTTTCTGACAGGCGCACTGAGTAATAGTATTTTGGAAGGTCTCATGGTATTTATCAACCTCAAAGTGAAAAATAAAACCAAAATATTCTACCTCCATTATTAAATTCTAGAGCTTTATTATTTACTAAAGCATCTAAGATCTTTTAGCTTTTAAGTACATTTTTAGCCTGTATCACCTCCTGGACACTAAGATTTGAGGACACATCAGTAGGTTTTGTAGCATAACATCCCATCTTGGTACCTTGTACTGGGTGGGCCAAAAGGTTCGGTTTTTTCTGTAGGATGGCTCTAGACGCCTTAGCTGTCTTTAACTTCATTCAAAACAATTTTGTTAGATTGAATGTGCCAGCTGTCACATCAGCATGCATTTAAAAAAGACATCAAAATTGGTGAATTTTTGTGTAGCCATTTTAATATTGAAGATGGAAGAAAAAAGGCAACATTCTCGGCATATTATGCTTTATTATTTCAAGAAAGGTAAAAACGCAACTGAAATGCACAAAAAGACTTGTGCAGTGTATGGAGAAGGTGCTGTGACTGATCGAATGTGTCAAAAGTGGTTTGCAAAATTCGTGCTGGGGATTTCTCGCTGGACAAAGCTCCATGGTTGGGTAGAACAGTTGAAGTGGATAGCAATCAAATCAAAACAATAATTGAAAACAATCAACGTTATACCACGCAGGAGATAGCCGACATACTCAAAATGTCCAAATCAAGCACTGAAAATCATTTGCACCAGCTTGTTGTGTGAGTCGCTTCGATGTTTGGGTTCCACATAAGTGAAAAAAACCTTCTTGACCATATTTCTGCAGCAATTCTCTACTGAAATGTAATGAAAACGTTCTGTTTTTAAAACAAATTGTGACGGGCGATGAAAAGTGGATACTGTACAACAATGTGGAATGGAAGAGATCATGGGGCAAGCGAAATGAAGCACCACCAACCACACCAAAGGCCGGTCTTCATCCAAAGAAGGTGATGTTGTGTATATGGTGGGGTTGGAAGGGACTCCTCTATTATGAGCTCCTTCAGGAAAACCAAACAATTAATTCCAACAAGTACTTCTCCCAATTAGACCAACTGAAAGCGGCACTCGATGAAAAGGGTCCAGAATTAGTCAACAGAAAACGCATAATCTTCCATCAGGATAATGCAAGACCGCATGTTTCTTTGATGACCAGGCAAAAACTGTTACAGCTTGGCTGGGAAGTTCTGATTCATCCACCATATTCACCAGACATTACACCTTTGGATTTCCATTTATTTCCATCTTTACAAAATTCTCTTAGTTGAAAAAATTTCAATTCCCTGGAAGACTGTAAAAGGCACCTGGCACAGTTCTTTGCTCAAAAAGATGAAAAGTTTTGGGAAGATGGAATTATGGAGTCGCCTGAAAAATGGCAGAAGGTAGTGGAACAAAAGGGGGAATACGTTGTTCAATAAAGTTCTTGGTGAAAATGAAAAATGTGTTCTTTATTTTTACTTAAAAAACCGAAGGCACTTTTTGGCCCACCCAATATTATTCCTACAGGAAAAAACTAGGGAACACACAAGGATGAAGTAATTAATCATACGGCAAGACGGGGAAGGAACCAAAATGAAATGTTTGGGATTTGGAAACCCCCATACTCACTGATAAACTCTGATGCCAGCCCTTGATGGGCACTGAGGAAGCTTGTTCCTTATTTTCACAATTATACTCACACTACAGTTATATAGAGAAAACATGGTAATGCTCAAATGAGTAGGACTCTCTAAGCATTATAAATGATGGATGAGGAATTCCTATAGGACTGAAGTGAAACTGTAGGAAACATCACTGATCCCTGTGCCTATATACTGGCCTTTGTCAGACAGTTTTTAAAAATCAGGCACAGACTCCTCAGGATTCATGGGGATAAAGATAAACTATGGGAAACATTCCAGCCATCTGTGACATCGATGCACAGTGAGCAGGCGATGGCGTGCATTTCTGTAGAAAATGACCATCAGTCAGTCTACCAGCTTGGAACTTGTTGCCAAAAGCGGAAACAAGCCATCATTAGTGTTAATGGAGGTGCTGGCTGACAGGTAATGAGGCTATCGATCAGACAAAAGCTCTGTGGCCCTTTCTCCCCTTGGAACTCCCTGAACTGGGCATGTGCAGCATTACAGTGGAAATTTCCCTCAACAAATCCTTTCCACCATGTCCTGGTAAATCTTCACCAAGTAGTCCTCAAATATATAACTTAGTTTCATAGATCATCTAGCTGTTGATTTCCACTGTCCAGGATCATCTGGTGAAAAGACAAGCGCGTAGGCTAAAAAGAAACTGGACATAAAACAACCCCACCCATTCTGCATTATCCACATTCATAGCTCTTCTGGGGCCACTACCCATTTCTTAGGCTCCGCCACTATACACCTTCCTGCTCTTCACGTGTGGCTGGAAAGGACTGTACCTACCAGGGCCTCCCCAGGTGACTGCGTTCACATGCAGATTCCCACCTACATTTTCAATGACATTTTCCATCAATACGGGGAAGGCAGAATCAACAGGATGTTGTGGCTTCCTTGCATAGGACAATTATCTCGGGAGATAAGGGTTGAAGGCTGTCACTGAAGCGTGTACACGATAACAGGAGGAGCAAAAAAAATCAACGTATAGAGCACAAAGCTCTCAAGGAAGGAGAATGCCAGTGAGTCACATAGAAATAAAGCATACATTTTGTATCTGTTTGCCAAGAATGGAAGCTGTAGGCTTACTGAAATCAACCTAAGTGACACATAGATATAGATAAATGGACTGTGTATTGTTACAAAGAAACAACAAAATGGAATCACTTGTGCTAAGCCCCACATCAGCAAACCAAACTTAATACCTAACCTAATTACAGTTACAACCTCCCCCAGGAATAGCCTTAACCCAGCGGTCCTCAACCTTTTTGGCACCAGGGACCGGTTTCATGGAAGACAATTTTTCCATGGACCTGGGGTGGGGGGTGATGGTTTCGGGATGATTCAAGCGCATTACATTTATTGTGCACTTTATTTCTGTTACTGTTACATTGTAGCATATAATGAAATAAGTATACAACTCACCGTAATGCTGACAGGAGGCGGAACTCAGGCAGTAACGCGAGCGATGGGGAGCGGCTGTAAATACAGAAGAAGCTTCACTCGCTCACCTGCCACTCACCTCCTGCTGTGTGGCCCGGTTCCTAACAGGCCATGGACTGGTACCGTTCCGTGGCCCAGGGGTTGGGGACCCCGTCTTAACCGGTCAGTATGGAAATTTCTTGTCAGCACCACTGAGGCAATCTACCACACAGGTCCCTTCTGTCCCCTATAGGTAGCTTACCTAAGCCTGAAGCAATCTACTCGTTTCCTCCTTTTGCTTATAAAAGCCTTCCATTTTGTACAGCTCCTCAGAACTCCTCTCTACTTGCCAGATGGGATGCTGCCCAGTTCATGAATCATTTAATAAAGCCAATTAGACCTTTAAATTTTACTCGGTTAAATTTTTGTTTGTTAACAGTGTGTACAGGTAGACACACAAGCGCATACACAGAAAACTGTCACACCCAAAGCTTTTTCTGCATATCTTGATTTTACTATATTTTCTGAATATTAAGCAGGAAAACCTTTCTGTAGAATAATTAACTTACCTGCAAGTTTGAGCAGTTGTGGAATAGAAAACTTGCTAATAAACTCTATTCACTTGGGTTTTGTGAATAGAAAATAGAGAAGATTTCTTTTTCTGAAACTCCCACCAACGTCCCAAGGAGTGTTTTCAGGCTGACAGCTGCTGGTGAGGACAGCCCTTGGCAAACACAACAGCCACCCTGGGCCCACAGCGGGTCCCCATTCCCCTCAGAACAAGGCATACAGAGTTGACTGGATTCGCTCCAACTATCACTGAGGCAAGTTTCAGCAAGAGTAAAATTGGGTGACATCATACAAAGACCTAAGCAAGGTGTTCCAGTCTTTTACTAAGAATTATCTCCTGGAAGGGAAGCTGTCTGTTTGTTTTTAGAGCTTATGATTTAATAAAATAGACATTTCCATTTCCCTGGCTCAGAGATTTTTGACAATCTCTCCGTAGACTTAGTTTGATTTCCTATCCTCTACCTGCTCTTCAGCAGAGAAAATCTGACCATGTACATCCTGGGCCTAATTTCAGAAGAGTACTGTTTTGTAACCATCTTCATTGCAGCTTCTAAGGCCACCTTAGTGAGCTCCCCTGTGTACACAAAGGGAACCTGGGTTTAGCGGGCACTAGGAGACAGCGCCCCCTGGAGGAAATTGGTGAACAAAGCTGGCAGAGAAACTGCTACAACCGGACGGCTTATGAGTCAGCAGTGGCCCAAGGACCCCCTTAACTTGTGCACCTTTGATGTTTCCAACTGTAAACTGGGTATTCTCACTTCTGCCATCCTGTCCATCTTCTTATGCTTGGAAGTTCAGGTCAGAGGTCGTCCACACTTCCCTCCTCAGAAAGCACTTTCGATTTACCCAAAATTTTATGTGTTTTCATAATTGGCTATTTTTAAGATCAGTGAGAGATACCATCAACGGGAATGCCAAAATTGTGAAACATCAGAAAGTAAAGTAAAATGAATCATGAGGTTTCACGCAGATATGCTGGGGGAGAAGGGAACAGGTTGTTAGTTCTTTCTTTCCAGAAAAAAACCCTGATGTCCTGGGGTTTCCCAGCCCTCCTGGCCTGGGCAGGGTAACCACACCTTTTTATGGGGTGGGCCCTGGCTCAGAAGACTACAGCTTTTGGTCATAATTACCTAATATCTAACCAACTGAAGACCAGAGAATATACAGCTGCTATTTTTATTACCATCCTTCTAGTTTCCAAATAATTTTGCAGTGTAATCTGTTTATGGCCAACTCTTTACTTATATTCTCTATGTAACATGGAGGTTGGTTCTAGTTTTTTTGCCTTTTAGAAACTTCCCTAAAGTCGTAACATTGGTTTTTTTCCTTTTCATTAAAAAATATCTGTGGCCCAGAAATTCTATGCTGAGGTATCTACCTAAGACAACCAAAGGGTTCAAACCTATTTCTTGTATCAAGGGTGTAGGAGGAAGGTAAAAGGAATACTCTTCCTCAGCACCTGGATTTTCAGGGTTTTCTGTGAAGGCCTCGAGCAATGGTTTTTAAGCGGTATCCTCACCAGCCACAAAGCACCACTTCAATGTGAGGCAGCTGGAGCTCATCACCAGGAACAAGGGTGGGAACAGGGGGCCCTACTTCCTTTCTTCTTCCTGTTTGTGCCCAGCTCCTCCTGTTCAGCTCAGAGGTGTATCTATCTCTCCTCCTTAAACCTCTGGACCTACAGGAGCTCATCTGGGCCTCCGGACCCTAAGGTGGAGCGGCCGATCTGCCTGGCTCAAGATGAGATTCTCATATTCTTATTTCCAAAGCGCTGTTGCCTGATCCTAATTGAACTGTCAAATGTTCACAGATCAGTTTTGCTATCATGTACAGAAGGCTCTAAAGTATATCTTACACTCAAGTTATTTTAAGAGATGAAAGAAAGGGCAAATTGTTATTGTTCTTTTCCTAAGGAAAAAGGTGACAAATAGCCGAGAAGAACATGCATGGAGAAACTGGCAGCTTTCTTGTGAGTGCAGACGTTCCTTCTTTAGCATCCCTGTCCTCCAGTTATGGGACGGGGAGGGTGGGAAGGAGAAAAGGCGCTCATGAGTCTTTAGGATGGGGTGGCGTGGAAGCAGCTTAGTTCATGACTGACTCCCAGTGAATGCTGGCAGCTGGGGAGAAGGGAGGTCCAATGCTGCTGCAGCGGTGCCAGGCGTGCAACAGGTGGGTAGCCAAGGGGGTCAGCGAGCGTTCCTGTAGAAAAACGCTATGCTCAGAACGACTGTGCTAAGTCAAGGCAGCATTCATTAAGTATTTGTTCAGGCTCAGGAGCTATGGGAATAAATGGAAACAGTCCCTGCCCTTGAGGGTCACTCGGTCGTGGGTGGGAGAAGGGGAGTGAGTGGTAGGGGGTGAAGGAGAGCAGGAGATATGAGGAGATCAATCCATTTAAAACATTCTTTCCTGTAACAGGTAACTGAACTGAGGCTTCCTTGCAGGGGGAGCAGGAGTTAGGTTTATTTACTCCACTACCCTGTTGGCAATCACAGCAAGCCCTCAAGGGCTTTTCAGGAGAATGAGGGCCTAGTTTGTCCCCCCTGACATAAACGTCGGAGGTGTGGGGAGGCTCCGCTTTTCCTAGAAACCGTACTTGCCTCTGTAATTCATCGACGGCATGTGCTGTGGGAAGAGGACAAGTGGATTGAAGTTAAAGCATGAGAGTCTGCTTGGTTCAGATACTCGCTAGTTGTATAATCTTTATACTCAAAGTGGGTTTACTGTACACATGTAGCTGGGTCTTTGTTTTTTTATCCACTCTGGCAATCCCTGTCTTTTAATTAGTGTGTTTTGACCATTAACACTTATAGTCATTACTTATACAGTTGGATAAATATGTTTGTAGCTTTTCTATTCATTGTGCTTGTTCTTTTTTTCCTCTGGTTTTGAACATTTTTATGTGATTCCAATTTACCTCCTCTTAGAATATCAATTATTTTCTTTTTATATTGTGTAGCAGTTGCCCTCAAGTTTACAATATACATGTATAACTAATCTGAGTCCACCTTCAAATAACACTATACAGCTTCATATGTAGTGCCCAGTCTACTGGGAAGCCATCAGAGGCATTACACTGTTACACTTCTGTGGATTTCTAGCATTTCCTTTTGACTTTTCTCAGAGTTTCCATCTCTCTGCTTACAATACCTATCTGTTCTTTCATGATGTCTACTTTTTCCATTAGAGCCCTCCACATATTAATTGGTTATTTTAAATTCCCTGCCTGAGAATTCCAACATTTGTGTCGTATCTGAGTCTGGTTCTGATGCTCTTCATATTGTTGTGGGTTTTTAAATTATCTTTTAGCATGCCTTGCAATTTTTTGGTTAAAATCCAGACATAATGTACATCAGGTAATAGGAACCGAGGTAGAAGGCCTTTCATGTTAGGATGTACGGTAACCTGTGAGCAGCTGGGCTGTGTGTAATGTTTGCTGCAGCCATAGGTGCTGGAGGCTCCAGCTTCCTCCAGGGTCCTTGCTGCTACCTCCTCTATTGTCCCTGGGCTTCCCTAGGAACTACTCCTTAAAGAGTCTTGCCTTGCAGCTCTCCCAGCTGTAACTCGCAGTCATTGTACTTGATTTCTGGTGCTGTGGAGGCAAGGCGTGGGGAGGGGGTGGCATTCTACAATTGTAGCCTTAAATCTCAGTCTTTTAGTGGGCCTGTGTCTCCAGGCTGTCACCTTTACAGGTGTTTCTTAGCTGTTTTTTTTTTTTTTACCCCTGAGGTGAGACAGGAAGGCTTGAGGGGGCTGGAATTGGGTAAATGCCCATCTCCCATGTGGGGTAAGGCTCTGGTGAAGTCTTTCACTCTAGCTAGTAGCCCTTTGTTATGGAGGGTGCTCTGGGCATAGTTCAAAATGGTTACCTTTCTCCTCTATCTGCAGAGCCAGGAGGAGACTCTTCTTTCTTGACTCTTCATCATAAGAATGCCTGGTAGCTCACACTCAACCTCCAGCAATTTGTCAGGATTACCACGTAAGTGATCCTACCGGTCCACGGCTCTGGCGGTTTCTGCTACAGGTAAGTTGACCTCAGCTGGGAAGCTCCGTATTCACCCATCTCATGATTCTCTGACGAGTATTAAGGAAAGGTGTTGATTTTCAGTTTTCTCAGCGTTTTTCTTGTTGTAACAATAGGAATGACAACTTCCAAGCCCTTTTTACACACTGGGCCTGAAACCGGAAGTCTAGCTGTACAACCTTGAGCAAGTCAACTCCTCTGAAGCTATTTCTCCCTTTATGATATAGTGATGATAAATCTTTTAGGCCTACTTCACGTCATTATTTACATTAAAATGCTTTGTAAATGGTAAAGCACTATACTTCCATACGGATTATTATGGATTTGTCAACATTCATCACGAATGTGGGAGTTGTCACCAGGAAATGTCTGTCAAGGCAGGAATTAAATTTCCCAGCTCCCGTGAAATTGCTGTGTGCCAGAAGGATGCAGTGAAAGACATGTGTCCCAATGCCACAACTGGCTCATAATAATGCCCCAGTGGTCCTCCCTCCTCCTACCCTTCTCCTGCAAGCAGAGGACCATGTGACCTTTGGGTATAATGGAGCCACAAGATGGAAAATTCCCTGCCTACGAGGAACAGACCACTGGATTGTTATGTGTGCAAGACATAATCATTTTATTGTCTTTATTCACTGAAACCTTGGTTTTTGTTTGTCAGGGCAGCTGATGTTACCCTATCTAACAAAGAAACCGTTATCCTGATATTGGAGCTGCAGTTACAAAAACCTACAATTTGTGGTTTTCAAATTTCATATTCACTGGTTAGGAGCTGTGTGGCTAAAAAACAGATAATTGTGGGCTGGAAAGATTGAGACTCGTGATGCTGCAGTGCAGTATTGAGTGAAACTTACCTGCAACAATATGAGTGATAAAGAGAAAACAGAAAGACTGTTGGGGAAAATGGAGGGAAAGAGGCAAAGTGCAAGCATGTATTGACTGTTCCTCTCTACTTTCTGAGGGAGGGAGGGACAGAGAGAGAGAGAGAGAGAGAGAGAGAGGAGAGAGAGAGAGAGAGAGAGAGAGAGAGAGAGAGAGAGAGAGAGAGGATTGGCTAGTTGAAATTGGCAAGCACAAAGGAAAAGTCCAGAATTTTGGGTCCTTGCAGTGTTACAACAATTGAGTTTACAGATTACAGACAACAGGAAATAATACTGAAAAAGGCCTGTTAAGACTTACCAGGTCAACTCAGTTTTGAGGACAATACAGGTGATGGATGTGATGTTGCTGTCCAAGTCTTGTTTTAGACAGCTTCAAGATGACTGCTAATAAACTGACAGGGAGATTGGCTTGAGGGCAAGGAAGCAAACATGTAACTCCCCAGTCCTTCCTGTGTACCCGCCACCCCCAGGCCTGGGCGACCCCGTTCGGCACTTGGCGGCCTCTGATGCGCTGCAAGCTCGCAGCTCTGCTCAGCTCTGAACCCCATAACCCTGATGGATGCAGCGCCTGGCGTGTCCAAGGGGCTTGGAAGAGGTACTGTGAAATAACACATTTTATGGCAAGACAAGAAAAACTTCAATGTAAAAAAATCTTCTCTACCCTTTGGCCTCTTCTCTACCCTCTACCGTGCATTGTGTCTCTGCATTAGGCATTGACCAAACCTCCCAATCGGCAGAAACACCTGCTCAGCCATAAACAGCAACATTCCCCTAGAACCAACAAGACAACTCCTTAAAAGATAACGTTCTTCCTTAATCTTGCAAAAGGTCACAAGGACCCACCACTTTGCACCTGAAGATCTGGATTGTGTAAACTGTCAACAGTCCATCATTTAACGTATAACCCTCTGTCTCCCAAAATTTATGTTAACTGTGCTCTGACTTCTAACGGGCAGAATAGCTCTCGGAGTTTTCTGAGAGGCTCTTCCCGGGTTATAATCCTCAATTTGTCTCAAATAAAATTTTCCATTTCCTTCTTAGATCGACGGATTTAATCTTTCATCAGCAGTACCTAGAACAATTTACATTTCATCAAAGAGGTGGCAAGGCTCTTTGTCCAAAGTTCGGCTGCATCTCGATCGTTTTCCCCTTCTCGTCCCGCTTTCTGCTGTTCCCTGCTTCTGCAGGTTCCAGTTAAATGGGCTAAGCTGGGGTTGAGTGGGGAAGTGGGGGTGGGGTGTGATGAGGGGTAGAGGGTGAGCGGTCGGGAAACCAACATCCCCCAGTAACCCTCTGGGACCGTGTCCCCGGTCGGCGGCTCTTTCTCCCGGGACCCCTCCCCGCCCTCCCCCGCCCCCCCCAAAACAGAGCCACCTGGGCCCCGGCATGTGGGGATCTGCCATCTCTGCGTGCACTCAGCCTCTAGGGAAACCAAATCTCGCCTTGGCTCTGCGCATTTCACTGTTGACAGTTTCCAACATAAGACCCATGAAACTAAAATGTGTGAGAAGAAATCCAGTAAGAGAAAAGCGATCCAAGACACAAGCCTATTAAGTCAACCTAATATTATTAAACTTCCAAATTCAGGAACTGCCCTCCCTGCCTTAAGACCGCTTCTTGGAGGCAGAGTTGCTTCTCCTGTTTCTTTTTGAATCAGGCTGATGCTACTTCTGAGTGCTCACCTGCACATTCCCTGCAGGGTCGCCCTCTCTAGCTGCCATCTCCTCCTCCCCCTGCCCCGCCAGGTGTCTCCCCTGAGAATGAGCTTCGCTCCACCCCACAGACACTCCTGCATCAGGTGCGGAACGATTTCAACAAGCCTCTGCTAAAACGTGATAGAAGAATGACTGATCCTGCAGCCTCTGCGTGTCAGCAGAGGGTGACGGGCCGCCATGCTGGCTGCCCCTCCGCCGGCGTGGCGGGCGGGCACACGAGCGCCTCTCCTCCACCGCCGGCTCGCCCACAGCCATCACGCAGGCCTGCGTGCCCCTCACCGTCGCCAGGCCTTGGGGACATCGCGTCCACACAGCACCTGACCTGGAACCGCAGCCCACGGTCAGGTTGGCACGTGTTTTGTTTTGTTTAATTTCATGTTACTTTCACATTTACAAACTCAGGAAGCCACACTGAGAAAGGGATGGTGGAGGCTGCCTGGAGGAAAAGCTGGGCTCCTGGGCCCTGTGCAGCCTGGGCGCTTGGGACTTTTCGCAGGGAAACTCTCCCGTACCTCGAGGGGCCTCGCTGTCGGACGGCACCTGAAATGGTAGCCGTGGCCTGCTCCTCAGTGCCTGGAAGGTGCGTTACTGCAGCTGCCTCGGCCCAGGAGTTTATTGCTGGTGAACTTGATTATCCAACTTACAGTCCAGGATGACGGCATCATCAGAAATGGGTCCAGTGGTGCGCATTTTGCTGAGACGAAAGGAGACTGAAATGTGTAAGCTGCACTGACTGGGCAATACTGGCATGTTGCCCGTGTTTGCCGCTGGCCCCCAGGAGGGCCTGGCCTTGGGGGAGGCAGGTGGAGACCCCCCTCCCCGTGCCCATCCACACGGGACCATCAGAGACAAGAGGCAGACAGTCACCAGGGTGGACGTGCCCAAGCCCAGGGCAGCCTGAGCTCCAGCACCCGGCCAGCTCTGCCTCTTCCCAGGCTCCCTTTAAGGTCCCCAGAGATGTTCCCTTTCTCAGGTGGGAAATGTGTACACTCCCCTCACTTTGCAAAACCGGATCTCTTGGGCTGAATGAGATCACCACTTGGCAGGCAGAGGTCTGGAAATGTGGCCCAGCGGCACACAGGCATGTATTCTGAATAGACGGACTCCCGGAGAGCGCCCTCGAGTCATCCCTGAACTTCTCAGGGACAGAACAGTCGTGGAAAGAAGGCTCTGCCTCTGACTATAGTGGCGCCAAGATGAAACCCAGAGGTGGAATTACTCAGATTTGACCCTATCTCGGCCCCTGGGGTGTGTGCAGACCAGTGGCTCTTCCATCTCTCCTGAAAGCGCTGGGCGCCATGTCTACAATCCCCTGGGGACAGGCATGACCGCCCCACCGTCTGCGGGAGCTGCAGGTGTCTGACAACCGAGGGAGGTGACTCGAGGCTGTATGATTTTTCCTCCCGTCTGTTCGACTGCAAATGTTTAGTCTCTTTCCCCGCTGAGGAGAGCAAAGGCCCCATGGCACTGGGGCTGGGGTGGAGGAGGGAGGCAGGGCCCGCCGTGCACCTTCTGTCCAAACTAGGTCATAATGGTCAGGGTCCAGCTTCACTGGCCAAGGCACACCCAGGTCCATGGTAACTGAGGAGTGTTCAGGGGGAGTGTGACAGAGCAAAGTGTCATTTCTGTGCCCAGATCTCCACCTGGTTAGCCTCTGGTCTAACAAAGATACTTGAACTCACAGTCCTACACGTCAGTTTAGCAAAAAATCTGGCTTCTGATACCCAAAGAGTTTAAAGTCCCCTTCAAAACGTGCATAGAGGCGCCGGATGTCTCGTTTGCTGATACCCAGAAAGTAGTGCTCGACTTTGGTTCTGTTATACGCGGTGATGCCCGGGGGGATGGTGGGGTAAGACACCAGGTGGTCTATACCAGCCTCTTTCAAGATGTGTGGGGCATCGTCCTCCAGGGTCTCATGGTGACCGATGACGCTGTACTTGATCTCGCAGGGTGCGCACAGTTCCACGTATGTCACCCAGTGGATGATGTGGTCCCCAAACTGAAGGTCCAGCCACCTATGGTTCGGATCACCCAGGTAGCGCACAAAGTCCTCAAACTGGATGCCCCTGGTCTCCGTTCGGTTCCTCCTGTACTTCCTGATGATGCCAGGGGCAATCTCGTGCCTGTACCAAGGCTCAAAGCGGGGGTTGTGAACAAACTTATCCTTAAACGCAGAAATCAGTCTCTCGAAGGGATCTCTTACGATAAAAAACTTGAAGTATGTCTTCAAGCTAAGGGAAAAAAATGAAGATGAAGAAGTTAACCTGATGCTGCTGGTGGTGCTGGCTGTGGGTTGTGAGGAAGAGTGAAGTGTGATGGCTGGAGCAGTGGCAGCCACCAGGCTGAGCCCTGTGCCAAGCGCACTGCATGTGGCTCTTACTTAATCCTCACAGCCACCCTTGGAAGCAGATCCTTTTATGAACCCATTTTACAGGCTGAGGAAATGGACGCTCAGAGACCTTAACTGTCCAAGACCACAGTACTCATCACCCCCGGGGCTGCTGTGAAGACATCTATTTAACCCATGTTTTGTTTCACTTGAGTAGTTTGAAACTTCAGGACGAATGTTTGAAAGTTTTGTTCCTGTGCAGAAAACTGTTAAGGGCAGGAACCCTGACTGAGTTAGGAACAGCTGAGGCCTGAGAATGACTCTAAGGGTACGTCTTTAAAAACTCAATTCAAAATTTCCAGGGGAAGGAAAATGGGGGGCAGAGTAGGTGGGAAGAGGAAAGGCAGAGTGAGGCTCCAGTCTCCAGCTGGCGGAAGGGGGTCTGGGGGAGCTGCCAGTGGGGGGGTGGCGGTGCAGGGGTACCCCCGTAAAGGGCCTGTACTGACAGTGACAGAGCGACGACGACACTGCTGTGATTCCGTGCGCTCACCCAGGCCAGAGACCCTCTCAGCGCTGAAGGTCTCAGCGTGTCTACTCTCACAAAAGCCCCGCAGGATCGCTGCTGAGGGGGGTGACAGGACCGCCCTCCCCCAGGAGGGTCTCTGACCTGGCATTTGACACCTGCCTTCTAAGGCTGTACACGTTGGCAAGAGTGAGTAACCAATACTGGAAGCAATGAAAATCAAGTGGCTGAAAAGCAAGGGAGATGAAAGATCATTCGGTGCCCTGACACTGACTAGTGTATTATATACCTGTTCCTTTTAAACCTTGTTCTACGGGGCCATACCACAGCTGTCAAGACAACTGTCCAATCAGCTAAGGAACTTTCCCGATGCCGGTCTCCCTCCTTGCCGTGGTTGGTGAGGCCTGTCTCTCTCCACCTCTGCTGGGTCCAGCCGATCCCGCCACCCCCCCAGGGGCAGCTGCCGCGAAGGCAGGCATAACACCTTGGGAGAAAATGAAAAATGAAGTGGGGTTTCCCTGCAACCCAAATCCCTTTCTTATGAAATGAAGGTCATGTTCAGTAAGAAATCCATAAAACTTAACAAAATCAGAGCAGAACAAAAACGACCACTCATTTCTATAAGACAGTTACGCAACCTTCATTTTAATAGCCTGCATGAAGGTTAGGGTGGAGAAGACATTCAGAAATTCTCACAAAGACGTGAATTTAAATGCGCTGAACGCTGGGCGTATGCCCGGCTGCCTCTCACCAACACAAACCAGTAGCTCTTGGAGCCATCTGGGAAACACGGCAAGTACAGAGCCGAGCCTGCGGGGTTTTATCAGCGTCCCCCTCCCCTGCTCCTACCGCTTCTGAATTTCTGCATCGCTGAAGGAAGAGAGACGCGGGAGGCCGTTCTTCTCGTGGTCGTGCACCACGCTTTCAGGGATCTCTTCGATGGAAGGAAAGGCTCCTGGGAGGCAAACAGGGAGAGGGCGTGTTGGGGATGCTGCCTTTAAAGACAGATGCCCGTCTCGAAGCCCGGGCCCGTGTTCCCCATGGGCCATCCCAGTATCCACGTTTAGGTCTTTGAATTTCAACTGCTTCTGCGGGCAGGATGAGAATGAAGAAAAGCTTCTGGTGATCCACAGGCCATCTGGAGGAAACAGACGAGTTAGGAGGAGGGAGAGGGAGGGAGCAACGGCTACAGCAACGAGCACCTAAATCGGTCACAATCTGCCACAAAAGAAAGACCGGTGCCTGCAAGCAGAATGCCCCAAACCTGCAATACTGACTCTGCTCTGGAACTGGGGGAACTGCCAGAGAACTGGGACCATGAAACCCACAGCCAGGAGAAATAGAGACACAGAGGTAGAGACCAAATGTATGGACACCAAGGGGGAAGCGGGGGTGGGTGGGATGAACTGGGAGACTGGGACTGACATACAGACGCTATTGATACTAAGTATAAAATAGGTAACTAATGAGAACCTGCTGTACAGCACAGGGAGCTGTACTCAGTGCTCTGTGGTGACCTACATGGGAAGGAAATCCAAAAATGAGGGGATACATGTATACGTACAGCTAAGTCATTTTGCTGTACAGTAGAGACTAACACAACATTGTAAAGCACCTGTACTCCAATAAAAATTAATTAAAAAAAAAACAACACAACAACACACTGCTGATCCATGCCCGCAGCTCGGGCCCATCACTCCCAGCATGACATCACCCAGGCCTAAGAGGTTCCTAGGTAACCTCACAGCATCCCAGACTGGCAGTGGCCAAGAAGTTTGGTGCTGGACAAGTCAGGCTGATGCTGTGCGAGTGATGTGATATATTCGAAGCACGGCTCAGAGGAGGACGCGGGGTGTCTGAGGAGAAGGCAGGGCAGGGCCGAGAGCCACAGCTCCTGGTCCAGGCTGCAGAGTGGAACCTGGGAGTTATCCTAGGGTTGGAGGGTTGGGCAGGTGCTTCACTCTTTTCTCAACTTAGACAAGTGGAAATAAAGCATCATTGAGCTGGGGTGCTAGCCCTTCATGTGCATCTTTGTGTTAACCTTGCCATGTTAAACTCAGAGTCCGGCAGGGAAGGATCTCTGTTGGGCCATCTAAGCAGTGATCACAGCCTCCTCAGAATATTTAAGCCCCGATCCAGAACCCTGTGCTAATAAGTACAGTGGACGGATGGCTATAAAACAAGCAAGATGCACATCTGCTCTCAAGGGGCCAACAGAGGAACCAGCTCTGTGGATCTGCACCTGGACCTGCTCTGGTACCTGTCGCCATGCAGGTGCACCTACGGACAGCTGAAGGCAGCCCCGGGACTGTCCTTCTCCTATCACATGGCCTGGCGAACCGCTCCCGTCTCTATCCCGCCCGCATCAACGGGTTCTTCTTCTTCAAAGTCTGATGCGTCACACAGTGGTAGCAAATCTGTAAGACTTTTGTACGTTTGTTGTTTTAAATCTGATTTGTAAGCTCATTGTCCGATGTCAAAAATCCAACGTACTGCCTGATTACTCAAGAAGTGCACTGATTATAAGCGGAAGATGAGGTGGGTGTCTCCCTTTTCTTCCCCAACGAACCAGGGAAGAGGCCGAATGACACCCAACTCCGACACCACCTCTGAGAGCAGCGGCAGGCCTGGGGGGCCGCGGGACGGAGAGGCCAGGGCCATGTCCCATGGGGCTCCGAGGTCTGATTCCTGATCCAGGAGTCACACGGCTGTCTACGGGAACTACGTTTCTTTTGAATCTGCATTTAGCAGAGCCCATAATTATCTTGGGTCAGTTCAGAGTAACTGGAGTTTAAACAAACACAGTGTCTGAAAAGAGTGGTGAGGAGTCAAAGCCTGTGGTGCATGAGGGCACTCTCCAATGATCTAATTTGTTCCCGAGTGAACACCAGATTTCCTGAAGCAGGCGGATTAAACCTCCGAATATGGATGCTCAGTGTAAGATGGGGACGACTGCAGGTGGGGAGGCCCCCAGACCCACCAGTGTCTGGGTGTGGGTCCTTCTCAGCACAGGAGGGCAGCCATGAGGATAGCTGCTGGATGGCCCAGTCAGTGTGGAGCCCTGACCTCCCAGGACAGAGTGAGTGACTCGCAAGAATCAATGCAGGGACTCTGAAGAGAGGCAACGGGACCAACCGGGCAGGCAGAGTTAGGGGAGCCAGGAGGCCCTGACCGTGGGTGGGGAGCGCCTGGGTGAACCCCGCCAACTTCTAACGCGGACACGAACAGGAGAAACGCCGGCACGCTGTCTGTGAGTCACCGGCCCAGCCCGGGCTCCCCTCTCGGCCGCCCTCCCCAACTCCCCCGCCCTGGCCCCGGCCAGCCTCCCTGCAGACCCCGAGGCCCAGCGAGGACGCACCGTTCAGCACGATCAGCACCTTCTTCCACTGGGTGTTGCCCACTTTGGGCGTCTGGCAGAAGAGGATCTCGTGCTTGTCACACACGAATATCCGGTCGAGGACAAACTTGGAGACGGCGGTGTGTGACAGGTTCCTCAGGGTGTCCTCCCTGCACACGTTTCTGACGAGCTCCAGGCGTTGCATGTAGACCAAGGGTTGAACGAGCCGCCCTCCCGGCAGCCTATTCCCGGTCAGCTGCAGGGAACGGAGACAAAACGGGCACAAGGGCTTCATTAGCAGAACGGGGCGTGCCGGGCATTAACTCACGGAGGCCGGAGCCTGGGGGCTGTCGCCACAGAAGCAGCAGGACGGAGGGCGTGAGTCAGCGCTGCGGCCCGGGGTTCAGGCTGCGTGGATGCGCTGGACCATAGTGCAGCCAGAGACGGCTGACCCTGTCCCCTCATCCTCAGCTTGGACAAACCGCGGGGGCGGGTGGGCTGTCTGCCTGTCGCTGTGCTGATGGCACAATGGCAACGGCAGGATATCCTCCGTTCAGCGATCTGAGGGAAGGCCAGCTTCTGCCCCCTCGCTCTCCCTCCATGTGACCTGAGTGTAAGTATGTGGCCTGGACCTAAGAACTTGCTGTCTACACAGGCGGTGGCTGTTTTGAAGATAACCTGGCACATTGGTGTATCTGGTTTATTAATTTAAGAAAACACCTTAGGTCATTGAGTGTGGGTTTTAAAAAAGCAGGCACCGTTATTCCACTTCCTCAGGGCTAAGCACACCATTACGTTTCTCTGACATGCGGCTTCAGGTGAGGAGAGGGGCTCTGCCTGGCCGTCAGGTCAGTGGTACCAGTGGTTTGGCTGCTGTGAGCAGGCGATGGAGCCCATCAGCACTGGTTCTGCTCTGAGGAGTCACGAGACCAGGTGAGAAGATCCGCGTGAACTGCGGGGTGAAGGCTGTGATGTCAGAAACCCAGGGCTGTGCTGTCCAGACTTGGCTGGATTCTTTCTGTTGACCTTACGTGCAGCTCATGGGCAGGACTGTCCCTTCTCTGAGTTTAATTCTGGGCTGATAAACATCTTTAGAGCTGGCTCTCCTCACCTCATTTCTTCCTGCACGAGGGCAACCTGAACCTTCCATCCAGACCCAGCACAGGGGCCAGCAGGGGGAGAAGGGGGTCTCAGGAGTGCGCCCCTCACCTTGGCAGGGGGACGATTAGGAATTTACGTGCAAAAGGAGCCTGGGGAGAAATTGGAGTCAGAGTGTCAAGGAAGGTGAGCACGGGGAGAGGTCAGCGGCCCTGGGCCCTGCTGCTAACGCCCCGTGACCCTGGATGATTAGCTTTCTTCCTACCCTCAGTTCTCTCATCCACACCGCCCAGAGGCTGGACTAGCTGCCCCGTAACTCCAAAGTTCCAGGATTCCCAGGATTCGGGGGCAGAGACCTTTTCCCCTGGCTTCCTCCCGACTCGCCCAACATCCCCAATCCACCCATCACAAAGCTCATTCTCGGCTGGGCGGGAACTCAACACAGTCAACACTCCAGAGCACCCACGATGCACAAGGCCCACCGACCATGACTCCCCCGGCCAGACACTAAAAGCAAGCGGAAAGGTGCAGAAGCAGCGACTCTAAAGCTCAGCATGACAGTAGGTGGAAACCAGCTGATGAGGGCAGGGAGGGAGGGGAGGCTGTTCCCCGTGATGGGGGACCCGCTGGGGCCGGAGGGGTGAGTAGGTGAGAGGGAGACGCCAAGGAAGAATGGGTAGAGGGGTCAGTGCCGCGGCCTGGCTGTGCCCACCTTCAGCTCCTCAGGGAAGTGCGTCTCTCTCAGCGACCTCCCCGTGTCGGGCGCGGCGGTCAGGAACAGAAACTCCTGCTTGGCGCTGTAGGCTAGGAGACATAGAGAGGTTAAAACGTCTTCCCATGGAGGGGGCAGACACTCCGATCAGTGCCACAGCCCAGAGGCCCCAGGAAGAGACCCGCACAAACACACCCAAGTGATAGCTGACAAGGCACAAAAGCAATGTGGTGGGGCAGCATCTTTTCAACAAATGGTACCCGAACAACTGGACGCCCCCAGACAAAGAAGGAGCCTTTCCCTAAACCTCACCCTTTATTCGGGATTAGCACTTAAATGGGAAACAAAAAACTATAAAACTTCTTAAAGAGCATAGGAGTAAATCTTGGAAAAACTGATAAACTGAATCTCATCAAAATTTAAAACCTTTGCTTGGCAAAGACCCTACGACGAGGATGGAAAGACAAGCTACAGACTGGGAGAAACTATCCACAAACCACACGTCTGACCAAGGACTGGCACATCTAGAATATGTAAAGAGCCCTTAAATCTCAACAGTAAAAAAAAAAACAAAACAAAAAAAACCGCAAACAATCCCATTAGAAAATGAGCGAAACAGGAACAGACATTTCACCAAAGAGGATCTAGAGGTGGAAAAGGAACATATGAGAAGATGTTCAACGTCATTAGTCATCAGGCAAATGCAAATTAAGACCACAGTGAGATACCACTGCACACCTAGCAAAATGCCTGAAACAAAGACCAGTGAAAACTCCAAATGCTAGTGAGGAGGCAGAAAAAGGAATCACTAACACATGGCTGGTGGGAATATAAAATGGTACAGCAGCTCTCAGAAACTCTAGAAGAAGCAGTTTCTTCAAAAATTAAGCATTCAAATACAGTATGACCCAGCAACTGCATTCCTGGGCGTTTATCCCAGAGAAATGAAAAATTATGTCACAAAAACCTATACACGAATGTTCACAGCAGTTTTATTTATAATAGCCCCAAACTGAAACAACTCAGCTATCCTTCAACAGGTGAATGGTCAATCAAACACTGATACCTCCATACCATGGAATAGTACTCAGCACTAAAAAGGAACAAACTACTGATACACACAATAAATTGGATGCATCTCCAGGTGACCATGTTGAATTTAAAAGGCCAATCCCCAAAGGTCATATACCATATAAAACATTCTTGAAAGGACAAAATGATGGAGAGGAGAACAGATTAGTGGTTGTCAAGGGGGGAGGGGGCAGGGGTGGGGGAGGGGGAAAGGGAGGTGGGTGTGGCTACAGAAGGGCAACCGGAGGGATCCTGGTGGTGGTGGAGATGTTGTGCCTCGTGACTGCATCCTTGCCAATACCCTTCTTGTGACTGCACTGTGGTTTTGCAACGTGTTACACTGGGGCAAAAGAGTAAAGGGTACATCGGACTCTCTTGTACAACTGCACGTGACTCTACAACGATCTCAAAATTAAAAGTTTAATTAGGAAAAAAAAGCCAAGTCAGCAGTCTAGTTAGTGCTCACACATTATTTTTGAAATTTATGGAACTGAAATCAGACTAGAGGAGTCTTAAAGAACGCTACACCAGAGTAATCGTTTACAACAAACTGATTTGGGGGAAAACCTTCGGGTAGAATTTGAAGGTAACTGTCAGACCTCTACAATCAAAGAAACATTGCTTTCAAAGTTTTGCAAAGCCTGGAAACATAATTTGAATAAAAAAGTAGTTATCAAAGAAAAGCACAGAAATTAGCATAAAAAAGCATAAGCAAAGGCGTATTTCACTTTGTTAAAAACATCAAAACCAACTCCTCTTGGGTCATTACTACCTACACTTTGCAGGCTCTACTGCAGCCTCCCCGCCTTCAGTCTGGCTGTTAAAGACTCCCGCTCCCTAGCCAGCCCCGCCATGAACGAGCCCCACCCTGACGTCCTCCCAGTGCAGAGGGGAGAAACCCATCCTCCCAGAGCCCCGTCAATAATAATAACCCATCTCCCACCTCTCATGCCTCTGAGCTCTCCGACTCCAATAGAAATCTCGGCCACACACCTCTATGAATCCCACGGAAATCTTTTCTCCTTTTCCCTGTGTTTGAGTTGAAATGCAGCCCTAACCACAGGTGCGCACAGGAGCTGCTCTGCACCTGCCGTGAGGACAGGAGGCACCACGGACCGCGTGAAGACAGACAGGGCAGCAGCACCCTTGGCCCCAAGGCTCCGGAATGCACCCCGAGGGCCACGAGGCCAGCGTCCAACCTCCTCCTCCTCCGCAGCCTCACCTTCGAGCACCAACGTGCTCAGGGAAATGGCACCTTCCACTCCTATCTGGTCACCTCATGTGCCAACATCTCTGACCAGCACAGCGATGCTCAGCACTTCCACCGGCCGCACGGGTTCCCAGAAACCGAAGTTTCCTTAATGACATATTAGATGGACAACGTAGCGTGAATTCTAAACAACTGACTTAACAGTGAATTTTTGAAAGGTGCCTATTCCACACACTCGGAAGCATCCAGAACGGGCTCTGGTAGCTGTGGGACAGCTCACCTTCCAGCCACACATGTTGGCTATTCGTCCGCCAATTTTTAACTGCTTTTTTTTTTTTTACCTTGAACATCCTGGTATTTGCTCCCCAACTCCCCTCGAACCCAATTCAACTAGATTCAAATAAAACCGATAGCACACCTTATGTTTGGTTCTGCTTTCCCACTGCTTTGCTGACAACCACATATTTTCAGCGGGTGCTGCTGTCGCCACTGTGATCAAAGGGCAGATCCCTACCCCACCCTGAACCCCAGGGGCGAGACACCAGCTTCAGGCCCAAGGATCCTGATCAATAGGTACCATCAGCTGTCTTCATAACATGAGCTCGCTTTCCTTAGAGACATCATTATATTTGTTTTACAAAATGTCTTTAAATTTACCACGTGCAGTACTGCTTTGTTTTTCTAGACAGGCTAGTATCCCCTCAGCTCCCTGACCTCTCTGTGTGTCCAGCTGCCCAGGGTCACCACTGCATCACACGCTGGGCAGGGGGCATGCAGACATCGCATCACAGGTTTTGACCTTAAGCGGCTAGCAGCTGAGCTGAGACACAAGATTAGGAAGAAAATCAGTGTCTACGCGCACACACCAGATTCACATTCTGTGTTCAAGTCTCAACACACCATGCCATCAAACTCCCACCACTGAATGGGATTTATTTCCCTATGACAAAGTCTAGTTCAAAACGACACTGAAATCTGTTAAAGAAGGATTCACTGTGGCTTCACTGCTGAGCCAAAGAGAGACCACCACTCACACACACACACTCACACTCACACACGCACACACACACGCACACACACACGGCTTCAAACAGCAGCTCAAGACAAATGTGCTCTTCCTACCCACTGGGTGGTAAGGAACTCATTAAGAACACGTAGGTGAGGGCTTCCCTGGTGGCGCAGTGGTTGAGAGTCCGCCTGCCGATGCAGGGGACACGGGTTTGTGCCCCGGTCCGGGAGGATCCCACATGTCTCAGAGCGGCTGGGCCCGTGAGCCATGGCTGCTGAGCCTGCGCGTCCGGAGCCTGTGCTCCGCAACGGGAGAGGCCACGACAGTGAGAGGCCCGCGTACCACAAAAAAAAAAAAAAAAAAAATAGAACAGGTAGGTGAGAACTGGATGCTGGAACAGAGCCCAGTTCCCAGGGGACAGAGCTGGAAGGAGCTGCCCATAGACACTGAGGGCACCCAGCTCCCTGAACACTGAGGCCATGGATCTGCTGCCCACTTTACAGGGATGGAACTTCCCCACACAGGACACCGCTGTGTGTTAGTTACTTCTTTGTGATGACAGTTCACAGTGGGCTTCTGGTTCAAAAGCAAAAACACTGAACGTTGAGTAAAATAAACTCCAACACATGAGGAAATCTCTCATGGCCACACATTTACCAACCTCCCCGGTTTCCTGTAGGAGCCCGAGATCCACTGTGGGGGTGAGCTGCCTCTCAAGACAAAGGGGACCCGAGGCCTGAGCCACAGTACTCCAGGGGGCTGAGGCCTGAACTTCTGGGGGGCCCGCTCCCTGCTCAGTCACCCAGGCCAGCAAGACACCATGCATGTGGGCTCACTTCCTGCACCCGAACCCAGCCAGCAGACACCCGCCTTCATGATCGCAGCCAGGGACTTGGGTACAATTAGATAAGGTCTGTGTGGTCGAGAAAGGCTGGGTTATGTTTGAGCCCAACAGCAAAGGGTTAGGGTTAGGGTTAGGGTTAGGGTTTAGGGTTAGGGTTAGGGTTAGGGTTTGGGGTTCGGGGTTAGGGGTTAGGGTTAGGGTTAGGGTTTAGGGGTTAGGGTTAGGGTTAGGGTTTAGGGTTTACGGTTTAGGGGTTGGGGTTGGGGTTGGGGTTGGGGTTAGGGGTTAGGGGTTAGGGTTAGGGTTAGGGTTAGGGTTTAGGGTTTAGGTGTTAGGGTTAGGGTTTAGGGTTTACGGTTTAGGGGTTGGGGTTGGGGTTGGGGTTAGGGGTTAGGGTTAGGGTTAGGGTTAGGGTTCGGGGTTAGGGGTTAGGGGTTAGGGTTAGGGTTAGGGTTAGGGTTAGGGTTAGGGTTTAGGGTTTAGGGGTTAGGGTTCAGGTTCGGGTTGGTTCAGGGTTAGTGTTTAGGGGTTAGGGTTAGGGTTAGGGTTAGGGTTAGGGGTTAGGGGTTAGGGTTAGGGTTAGGGTTCAGGTTCGGGTTAGGGTTAGGGTTCAGGGTTAGGGTTAGGGTTAGGGTTAGGGTTAGGGGTTAGGGGTTGGGGCTGGGGTTTAGGGTTAGGGTTCAGGGTTAGTGTTTAGGGGTTAGGGTCCTCACCCTCAGTCCACAGCACGACACGGGGCTGCATCCCCACTGAAGACCGGCTCCTCCATGCTGCCCGAGGGGGACAGGGGAGCTGGCTGGTGAGCTCTGGCTCTCACGTTCCCTCCAGGAGCAGCCCGCCACCAGGCTCCCATGCACGGAACCCCAGCAACTACGCGGGACACCCAAGGGCACGAGGACCACCATGCGCCTCATGGGGCTGGAGCCACTGGTGAGCGCCCCCAGGGCGGCAGCAGACCTCTGCAGTTTTAACATCCTAAGGCCTCTCAGCCTTCTCTGTAGGGTCACCTTCCACCCATTCACTTTCTGCTCCCCTTTCCCGAACCTTCTCAAGCTTCCACACTTTTCTGTAAACACTCAGCATAAAACCTGCCCCATCACAGCAGCGACACCTCGTTTATCAGATGCCCCTGAGATGCGAGGTGCTCTTCAGAGGCCTTACTGCTAGATCATATTCAAACTCAGAGACACACGTCTTATTTAATTATTTTGGGTGGAATATAAAATATATTACATACACTTCCTCATTTTTAAATAAAATAAACCACAAACAATTCAACCTCACGGCTCACCTTTCAAGTGCCTCCCTTACCAGGAGGTGACACTAAAGGAATCACAAGCGAAATGTGTAGACTCAGTGACACCCTTTCATGTTCTCTGCAGCTTTGTTTCTTGTGCAGCTTCCCAGCCACGTTCCCACTGGCGGTCCTCACCTGGGCCCCCCGCCTAGAGATTCTGCCCCCTGGTCTCTGCTGGGCCTGGGCAGCAGGAGGTATACACAGTCCCCAAGGGATTTTAAAGTGCCCTGGGGACCAGAACCACTGCTCTAACTCTTAACAAGGGGTTTCCACTATCGGTGACGTTAACTGTTGGGGGGAGCAGCCCCGCAGCAAATGGCTGGGCTGAGATCCGCACCTCAGATTCCAACAACCTTCCCAGACTTGGTCTGTGCTGTCCTCACAGTGGCCCTGGTTCCCAGTGTGACCGTGATTAGCCGTGATACCCCGTGATGCTCTTGGCCACCCCAGATGCCTGCAGCTGTGACTCCACCTTCCCCGGGCTGTGAAAGCCTCTCGGGCTCCTGGAAGATGAGGGTAGCATTGAGATGACAGCCAGTTGGGCCCCGATAACGTTACTGACCTGAAACTGCAGAGCTGAGAACCACCCTGGGGGCTTATTTCAGCGCCTCCCTCTTCTGCCTGCAGATCTGCCTTCCAACCTTGCCCCTCTACAGGGAGGATGGAAGCAGGGGGTGCGGGGTATTGGGCAGCCTCAGCATAGCCGGGGACACCCCCGGGGGCTCTCCAGGATGAGCAGGGCCCGGAGCCCGCTGGCCACACAAACGGCACGGGCTGTGCACCCCTGGGCGTAAATCAGCAAAAGACTGGTGTGATCCTTTTCTACTTCCCTCCCTCAAGGGCCACCACCTGCAGGTGGACATGCCAAGCCTCATGCAGGATAAAGATGCTGTGCGCTTCCTCCCTATCAGGATGGCAGTGCCAGGACACTAAGGCCATTCACGGGCCTTTTCAACATCTCCCGTGCGCCCTGCCTCATGCTGCCCCTGAAGGAGTGGCCTCAGGGTTCAAGATGACTGTCCCCGCAGCTCCTCACTCGTGCCCAGCACCTCACAGGTCACTCACAAGGCCTCACGGTGCCCAGGTCGGGCTTGGAGCTGTCAGACCAGGGAGCACGCCCATTCCACAAAAAATACTAAGGCCCCGGTAAGCAAAGGGCAAGGGCACGAACTAGACGCAGCTCTTCTGAGGCTGGGTTGCGTGCTCTTAATATGTCCTCATCTGAACGCCTACATCAGGTCAAGGGGAGTTAAAAAAAAATCCTCGAGGACAACCCAACACACATATATTTAGACCACCTTCCTTCCGGGGCGCTGAGGGTGACCTTCAAACACGTGGCCACCAGCAGGCAGCATCACCGGGCACATACGCAGCATCTCTCAACGACAGCAAGCAGGGCTGGTCCCCAAACCCACAGACTGCGAGGGGAAAGACCCCTTCATCCCCGTCCACCTCCTCTCCCGAACCTCTGCAACATCAAGGATTTGGACGCCATGACCTCCAAGGCCCTTCTGGGTCAGAGTCACTCATCCAAGCAGGTACCCAGGAACAGTACCACAGCAAGGTCTGAATTTGCCAAAATCCATTCCATGAGGAGGTGTACCTACCATCAGGGTCCTTAAAGGTCAGTGTGATGAATTTGCTGGCCACCATGAACATGAAAATCACCCAAAAGCATGTGGCCAACAGAAGCCACTGGTGGTGCATGTTGTCAAATGTCAGCCATTCAGTGCTTCTTCCTGGAAAACACAAGCAAAATGGCCCTGCTGCTTACAAATAAATCAATTAAACAGAAGGTAATAAAAGAATGGGCCATTTCAGTTAATAGCCTCAATACAAATACTCCTGAAAAATTTTCTATTGATACCAAGGGTGTTTTGACTTATTTAACTTAACATCATATTTTTAATTAATAGCAACTTATCAAGTTGATAATTAAGTAAAATTTAAAACACTTTACCGGAAAGGGGCCATTTCTATTTGGTCTTGGAACACGTGATAAGACTTCACTTCTGCAGATGTGCCTGTTGACTCTTTCTGGCCCAGGCTACTGTGTCCCTGGCGTCTGGCACCTGCCAGGGCCTGGAAGCCGGGGCAGGAGGGGGCCTGCCGCGGGCCGGACCTTTGGGTAATCCTCAGAGGGCAGACGCCACCCTGCGGCGATTCCAAGCAGGCTGGTTTAAAATCCTGACTCGCTGACAAGCTGCGGCCACACCCACTGAGCTGTAGAGAATCTCTGAAACCCAAGAAACGAACCCCGGAGCGTCCCGGCCCCGCCCACTTGCCCGCCAGAGCCTGCGCGGAACCTCGGGGGTGGGCGTTTCCCAGGCTATCGCTGCCCTGGAGTGACGTGGGGCACCTGGGTCCTCAGCGGGTCACACGGTTACACTCTGCTGCAGGGGACACAGAAGAACCGGAAGTCGCGCTCGATTCTTTGCAAGAGAGACAAAAAAGTGCTTCGTGTCACCTTTAACACGGGGCTTCCTGAAGCCAAACCAAGCCCACTTGGAGAGAGAGACTATGCTGGGCTGGGTTGGTGTCCGCCGGCTGTCGGCCCGTCCATCACCCGCGGGCAGCAGGGAGCTGGTCTGTTGCACGTGCGCTGACGGAGCCTGAGTGCACCTGGTGGACAGGGCTCATGAGGGCCCGGGCGTCGGCCTTCCTCCTGCCTGAACTGACAGATCCTTGCCTCTGAGGCCCTCACTGCGACCTGGATTCCCTCCCGCAAGGGGTTCTCCCCCCGCAGTCCAGCCCACCCCTGCACCTGTGTTCTCAGGTCTCCACGCAGCAGGCGCACCATGTTTCCCAGGGTCCCCTGGTAGGGCTGCCACGTTAAACACATGAAAACACAGGGTGCCCCGTGAAGTTGGAATTTCAGGTAAGCAAATCATTTTTTAGTACTTAGTATAACTATTTCCCCAGTACTGCGTGGGACACATTTATGCTTTAAAAAGCTATTTGCTGTTTCTCTGAATTCCCAATTTACCTGGGTGTCCTGCATTTTATCTGGCAACACTACCCAATGAGGGGAACACCGCTCCCGCTCTAACTGCCTGGAGCAGCTGGCCTGTCTCCCTGTCCCCTTCTGCCATGCCTCGTCTGGGGCCACGTGGCACAAAGCAGAGCCCTGGAGTGCCCCACCGCTCGGTAGCTCTGGGACTCAGCAAGCCACTTACCCTCCCTAAGCTGTGGCTTTCAGTCCCTGAGACAAGGCCCTCCTCCCTCCAGGATGGTCACGAGGATTAAATGAGAGACTGCACCAAAAGGACCACCTGGCCTGGAGCACACCCTCTATAAACAGAAATCGGTCGGTCCCTCGGCACCCTTGGTGACTTTCCTTTTTGAGTGACACATACCTAGAAATTAACCTAACAGTGTGAACTGCCCAAGAGGAGAAGAAAAGAAGGGCCAGACCCTCAGCCCAGGCTACTAGCTTTTCTCTTCTACAGACAAGGGAGGCACAGATGGCCCAGCACAGATGGCCCAGAGGGCACAGGGTCCCTCAGGGCTGAGTCTGCTGAGCTGGGCCCTCCGAGACGGGGACACTTGGCGGGGTCCATCCTCACCAGTCACTGAGGAAGCCCAGCTTCAGGCCTTTTCTAACAGAGGGGCGGAGGGACCAGTGTGGGCTGGAAAGTGGGTAAAGAGAAAGCGGATAAGCACCAGGCAGGTGGTCCACAACGTGCCCAGAGGCATCTGTGTCTGTGCACCAGTTCTCGGGAAGATTGAGGCTAAGCCCTGGTGCTGAGTGGCCCGGGGCTTGTGATTCACACTGTGTCATGGCAGAGTGAGCACAGACACAGGGGAGTCACTGGGGTCTGCCCCCCTTACACAGACACCTTACCGTGCAGGGCAGGGCACAGAAGAGCCCCGGGCACTGGCACTCAGCTTTCCGCCAGCTCAACCTGCCGACCTCCGGGCTTCCCGCCCCTGGGCGCCACCCAGGCATCAGGCCGGCGCTGGGCACTGCACTTGGGAGGTTTTGTGATTTAAGGATCCGATCTTTCCAATGCGAGCTAGTCACCTGAAGGGATCTAATTCGAGTCCACCCGCCGAGCTGGTTCACCTCCAGATAAAGGTAGGAAGGCAAAGAATAAACAGCCTGACATGAAAATGCGGCTCCCACCATCTGCCCTCCGGGAAGCCAGGTGGCTTAGGGGCAGGATTTCTACCTCTGGGCTGCTTGGAAAGTGAGACCTGCACGGTTGTGAAGCTCCGCCTGCCTTCCTAGCCCTGGGTTTTCATGTAAAGTCAGAAGCAACAGCTACTTTCACCCGGAAGCGGGGGTGGGGCAGGGCCAGGATTTGGTCCCTTCTTCTCCGTGTTGGTGTCTGGGGGTTAGTCACAGAATAGCTCTCTGGGCCCCCTACGAGATTAGGACAGAACAGCCGCCTGCATACCCACCAGTGCGTTGAGAGGCCCCTGTGAGACAGAGGCTGCCAGAGCACCTCGGCTGCAGTGTACAATGTATCAGCCCGCTCCTTCTTCCAGGTGGCAATTTTACTTCCAAAAAGTTCCACTTCTAAAGGGACTTCTGCTAAACTCCTACTGCACTAAGACATCCAGAGAGCCCTCTCCCCTTCCAAGCCTGGCCATGGCATTGGGATCAGGAGAGCGGGGCGTCTGCAAGGCACCCACCCGCCTCTCACCCTCTTCACGGCCCGCCTGGGCCGGGCAGGGACGGTGCCCAGGACACGTGGGGATTGTGATGCGGCTGCAGATTTGGGAAGCTCCGCGGGCATAAACCGCAGCCCCTGCCAAAATCTCTTGGGAAGCAGAGCATACGGCCAGCACTAAGAATGCAGACCAGACCCAGGCCTGCCAATGACCCCGGTGCCCTGCTGCGGTCCCTGCCCAGGCCACACAGCCTGTGGTGGTCACTATGGGGGCCTGCGCTCGGGTAGCAGGGGGTGGGGAGTGGGTGAAGCGCTCTCCCAGCCACTGGGCCCCGGAGGGAATTCCCTGGCGGTCCGGTGGTTAGGACTCGGCGCTTTCACTGCCGGGGTCCGGGTTCAATCCCTGGTCGAGGAACTAAGATCCCGCAAGCCGTGCAGTGCGGCTAAACCAACCAACCAGCCAACCAACCAACCAACCACTGGGCCCCTGTAAACGCCAGACAGGGCCTGCTCCCCCCGCTGCACAGCACAAGGCAGGCTCAGCCCTCCCTGCTGGCCACCCTGATTTGCCCTCCATCCTCAACTAGTTTCACTTTCTTCCTGGCACCCACCACAGCCTGAATCTTCTGCTTCCCCTGGTGGCATGTGAGCTCGTGCTGGAGCACCCCGGCCAGCACAGTGCCCAGCGCACCGCAAGATGACCTTTGCTATTGCTGGATGACGACATCAACCAAGGAACGACCGGGAAGACTTACGAGAGCTGGCAGGTGCTTTAGAAGACACCTGGCTCAACCCTCCACCCCAAGGTCCAAACTCTCTAAAGTATGAGGCCCCCGTTCAACCTCAAAATATTCCTCCAGTCTCCACGTGAGTGCTTATATATTTAACATGCGATAACTGAGACTAGAAAACAACCCAAAGCTACTAGGACCTCACTATTACTTGAAAATAAAATTCTATTTTATAAGTCACGCACTCACATGCATTTGAATAGACATACAACTACTGTTCTATGTCTACAACCTACTGACCAGGGGATAAAGAAAGAATGCTGCAGTCCAAAATAAATTTTTTCTAAAATTTAAATAAAACAACGCTGAAAGGTTGTAAGCCAATTACATAGCTCCAAAGTATCAAGATACATCAGTAAACAAAAAAGGGCAAGTTGCAGAATCGAATTATGATCCTATTAGTTAAAAAGAATTATATATATATACATGTGAATGTATGTGATTATATATACACGCAAACACACATACATGTGTGTGATGCACAGAATAAAATCTTGAGGATGAGTGGAGTCATTTTTTACTTCGTACAACTCTGTATTTTAAAAACATTATTGCAATAAGCATATATCCATTTTATAATAAAAACCAACAAAATATAGAAAATACCACCTACATGTGTGGACCCAGGTGTTTTTATTTCTGCTGTTTAAATTTTTTTCCTACCTGACCACCACCAACAGCAGTTTCCTTACCACTTTGTAAAATGGGGCAAAGGATGGTAAATACTTTTCCAGCCAGGAAAGAATGTGGTGAATGGACAGGCAATATGTATCTGAGTGTTTACGAAATACATCTCCGTCTTCACTAGTTAGTTTTTAATTCAGTTTTTAAAATGATTTAATATTTAAAACATAGAATAATATAACAAATACTTGTTTTCAGATGCTCAGTTCTAATAGTTCTGCTGCACGTACTTGAGTCTTTTAAAGGAAATAAAGGGTTACAAATGAGCTGGAGCCCCTGCCTGGCCCCGCTCCCCTCCCTCCCCAGATACTCTCCATCTGGGTGATGACACTTTCACTACATCAAATACGGCTCCTCTCATAGACGCAGCAAGGTTTGGGAGGCTGGTCCTCCCAGTCCAGATGAAGGCAGGGCGGACTGGGGGGAAGGGAGGCGAGCTTCCCCTGGGCTGCGAGGAAACACTGCATTACTTATTATGTTTTTCAGGGGGCACATGCGGTGGTACAGCCGGGTGGAGAGATGGACCGTTTTTAAGCACTTAACTTTTTTTTCTCGTGGTCTATAATGAGAAAATTCACAAATCACACACAGACTCAAGTGAAGAAGCTGTCAAGGTAGAAGCTGGTTAAAAATTTAGACGAACCAGGA